AATGGAGAACGCGAAGAGCCAGTGAAGGACTCACCTTGTGAGTACGTCAAAATATATAGACAATGTTGGAGAGATGATCCTATCAAACGACCAGATATACACGAAGTCTTGAATATTTTGTTAAATATTGAGATTCCGGATAATCTATCAAATGCAATTAATATATCGAATGGAATCGGTATTGTGAGCACGAGACCAATAAAGACGAGAGGTAATTCTGATGATAAAATATTGAAGGAAGGTTCGGATGATAAGATACTGTCGAGTTCTCCGACCGAAAGCGCGAGTAGCGATGGAACCCTATGTTCAATCACTGAAGTTGATCAGCTACCAACAAACAACGATAAAAAATTGTCGACGGAACTAGGGAAAAAAAAGCCGCAGGTAAACCTTGGAGGGAAAAGATTGTCGACGGACGTAGGAGGATGTAGGAGATTAGGATGCAGAGGGTTGTCAGTGGAGGTGGGGAGCAAAAGGTTGTCTGCGAATTTGGGAAGTAAAAAGTCGCCGACAGATGTAGCGAGTAGAAACTCATCGATCGATGTAGGAAGAAAGTTATCGACAGAAACAGGCAAGATGAAGTCTCCCACGAAGGAAACTGTAAGAAAGAAATCCTCCCTTGATGTAAGTGAAAAGAAACCTTCAAATTCTGATGTAGGCAATAAGACATCGACAGAAAGACCAAAGCCAGCACGGAGAGTCACCTCCATCAACACGGAACTCTCTCAATCTATTCGTAAGACAGAAAACCGTCGAAGCTCGTTTAACGGCGTCTCCGGTAACACAACTCCTACGACGCCTACTAATCCCAACTCCATCGCCAACAAAAAGATAATAGACAACACGGACGCCGCTTTCTTTGAAGATTTATTAAAATTCTTTATTAGTATCTTGGAAATAAGTGGTGATTTCCCGGCAATGATCTCAAGTATAAAAGAATATTTGCACAACAAAAGTCGGGAGCACAAATCGACATTTAAAGCCTTGATAAAACATAAAGATAATCCTGCATTCGGTTCTATAATTGGTTTCTTCTATGAAAACTCAATTGGAACGGTGCAGGACAAGCAAGCTGCGTTCACTTCTTACAAGAAATCCGCCGACAGCGGTGATGCCATAGGTCAATATTTCTTAGGTCGCTGTTATTATTGGGGTCATGGAATAAAGACAGATCGAAAAAAGGCTTTTGAACTACTACAAAAGTCTTCTGAAAATGGCAACTCGCGAGGTCAATGGATGTTGGGATTTTGCTATGAACGAGGATATGGCACCACCAAGGATTTGAAAAAAGCGTTTGAGCAGTTTCTGCATAGTGCCGAAGCGGGTAACGTTACCAGTCAAATGGAATTGGGAAGGTGTTATGAAGAGGGTATAGGCGTGGATAAGAATTTAGGAAAAGCGATAGAATGTTACCAGCATGCCTTTGCTCGGGGACATGTGTTGGCAAGTAAGAAAATCGAAGCGTTGAAGAAAGCGCAACGAAGGAATAGTTCTATTAC